CCCCAAAACCCCAAAACCCCAAAACCCCAAAACCCCAAAGGAGGGATACTAATTGTAAAATATAACAAAAAATGGGAAATAATCTTGACAAAAGGGACAATGGCATGCTCAACTCCAAATCTTTGTCCCTGTACGGCTACAGAATCCTCGGTAAGTCAAAATCATTCAAAGGAAATTTTCAAGAGCTGTATAGGCATTGATAAGAATTCCCCGATGAGCAAGACTGACGTCAAGCCGATGATTGATTTTATTAAATATGATGACAGAAAAATGGGAAACTTTGGGTTTAACCAAGTCGTTGAGGCTTATAAGGGTCAACCATTGTATTTACAGATCTATAATCTTATAACTAAATAAAGCACGAGATGTAAAGGTCATTCCAAATAACAAGTGGGGTGGTAGCTCTTTATTAGGAGCAGACATTAGGTTTGAGGACTACTCTCTTGCACATTGATCGGTCTACTATGTCGAAGGTAAAACAAACAGTTTCAAGATTTAACCCATCTAGATGTGTCTCCAAACAGCCCAGCTGAAGTAGCAGGACTAGTTCCGAAACAAGACTATATCGTGGCTAGCAAGACTTTTATGTTTAAAGACATCGATTCCATAGGTAATTTCATTTATTTTCTGAGTTCTAATTCCTAGGCGTAAACTCAAAGGTTGGGAAGCCAATGCACATCTCTGTTTACAACATTAACAGCCAAATAATGAGGGAAACAACAATAGTGCCTTCAAAATCATGGGGAGGTAAAGGACTTCTGGGGTGCAAGCTTTCCATGGGAGATGAATATACAATCCCAGTATCGAAATCAATGAAGCAATCGAAAGAATCAACCCTCAAATCCTTGTTTGGCAAAGCATCTTTGAGCAAGTCGAAGAGTAAGGTCTTTCTTTCATCCTTAGGTGCTTATGATGTAAGGAGAATTGCTTGGAAAGGCAAAGAAGAGTCGAAAGATGATGTTGAATTATCAGCAATTGGACTTAATAGAGGTGATCATTCATTCTAGCTCTGATCAGAAATGCAAATAGCAATTTTTTTGTGATCAATAGATTGCCTAAAGTCTTAAAAGTTACTCAGACTAGTGGAGGTCTGACTAAAATTTTTCTATAGGGGAGAATAGTGATCTGGAAGACCCACAATGCTCCCAGATGGGGTTGAACGAAGAAGAGCAATTTAGTCCTCTTTATAGCATTCGTAAATCGGTCTTATAGATTTTAGGCCAGAATGAAAACTCACAGCTTGACATGGAGGGTATCGAAGTCGATGTCAACAATATAAAAGAAGATGGTATTATAATTTTAACTCTTTAGAAGACGAAGAAGTTGGAGATTTCTTCCTAGAAAAAGATGAAGAGGAATCAAAAATGAATGCTCCAAAGACCAGATTCACTATGACCTTGAAAAGACCAACCACTGTTGCGATTGCTGGCAACACTATCTCTGAAAACCCATGTGATTTAGACAGTATGATTTATGTTTCACTTCGCTTATAGGAATTTAGACACTAAATCAATCACACAGGGCTAAAAAGGGGTTTTGGGGTTTTGGGGTTTTGGGGTTTTGGGGTTTTGGGG